AAATTTTGAGCTAATACATGACCAGAACTGGGTCCAAATGATTAAATTAGCATTTTGTGCCATTCTGCCACATTTACGATCGATCCTGATCATTTGCGATCGATCAAAATTTTATGCTCGAACGTGGAGCTCATTATGCTACCTTTGCGATTGATCCTAATTATTTGCAATCGATCACACTCCCGTTCTTAGCACCTGTTTGTTTTGAACATCATATTTCAAAAGGCCATAACTTGCTCATTTTAAATTTAAATTAGGTCATTCTTGTGCTCAAATTTACCTCCTTGAAACCAACACTCCAATGATATCAACCCCATTTTATAAATTCCCAGATTCTCGATCGTAACAGCCAACTTAGCCAAGCACACAGAGTTATGCCCTTTTAGTGTGACCTACCCATGAATTCTTCTATACCAAGAATGAGTAATTATGGGAAACCATGACCATAGCCACCGAAACCTTATGGAATGGGTTTAATGGGCTAATGTGAATAGAATGAACTGGCTCATTTAGAGCCAACTCGTCCTCCATCCTCGGTATTAAATGATCGTTTTATCCTAGTATGACCTCGAATTCAAGTAAGGACACAGAATCAGAGCACTGCCCGTTAATGATCCGAATCGACCGAACTTGGGTCGTTACAATTTCAACCAAATTAAGGATTAAGCAAATGCCAGAAGTATCATCTAGATGAAGTTGTTTCTGAACATCTCTGCTACTGAAACAGAAGCTTCGAAGAGATTCACCCCTTTCTCGTATTAGTTAGCATTCTTTTTTTGGTTGATTGGTAGTTTTCGGTTTCAAGTATATTGATTTTAATTATGTAAGAGATTGTTATGGGGGACGTTATAGACCCATTGAAACAACTCTTTCTTATGTATATTCTTCTTCTGAAATAGGACAGATAACCTAATTTGGTCAATTATTCAACTACTCTTTTATACATTTAGCTTGTTTTTATGCCTATAATGGCAAATTGTAATAATTTTTATTTATATTAAGTATATAAAAACTTCAAATAAAAAAAGAAAAAGAAAAAATAATAAATTAATTCAATCTCAAAAATGTGTGATTGCTTAATTTGTTACAACTAATAATCAAAGCATAACAAACAATTTAGGTGAAATTTCACCAAATGAACAATCAAGTCATCTAATTAGTAACTTTGCATTGGATAAAACAAGAGAATTATTTTCAAATAAAAATTATGAACTAATATATTATATTAATATTTTAAATATTAAAAGGCTATTTTTATATTATTGTCCAAATCTATAATATTTATAATATTTATTAAAGAGGTACGAGGACTCGGCACGCATCAAAAACAGTACCGGACACTTGTGAAGCTCCAAAAATTGTTTGTTAAACATACTGTTTTAGGTGGCGTGTCAAACATGATTTAATGGGGAGCGTTCTTAGAATTGCATTTATAATAAGATTCGAATATCGGACCAGAAAGAGGTTCTGAAACAAACTCCGACGAGAGTGATCTATGAGTGATTTTGCTAATAAACGTGCACGCACTAATCCTGGCCACAACATTGTCTTCCTCCGGTGTTACCGGATACCAAATTGGATAGTTACTTAGGTAACTATGGGTGTATTGTGTACTAGTGTGTATGGTAGGTCTAAGAGTACGAATCCTGCTGTTTGTTTTCCTCTTCCTCCCGCACATCAACCTAGTCATTGTGTTGCTTCCTTCACCACCACACCTTCACTAGTCATTCTGTGCCATCAACTCAATTAGTGATTATGCGCCTTCCTAACCGTCACCTAGTCTTCCCTCCCATGTAAGTCCATGATATTCATCTAAGGGTAAGCTACGGTAAGGTAACCTTTCTTCTCTCTTACTATACTCTCAACTCCTATCCTCTTTATGTGCGCAGTTAGTCTAGAGTGTTGTCTTATCCGGGGTAGAGGTAGGGCTGCAAACAAGCCGAGCCATTCGCGAACGGCTCGGGCTCGGCTCGATAATTATTCAACTCGTTAATAAGTGAACCAAATTCGGCTCAGTTTATAAACGAGCCGAGTCTGAACATCAGTAAACTCGACTCGTTTGTTTGTGAACCGTTCACGAATTGAGCTCGATAATATGTTCGCAAACATACTCAATTATACATACTCAATTATAATATATACAAAAGTTGGGGCCAGATTATATTTGTATGTAGCACATTTATATGTAGATATATATTTATATTGGGGTCAGATTGTAATTGTATATATAGTTTGTGGTTATTATACAAATAGGTCTTTCTTGTCTTTGTATATAAACATTTTTATGTTTAGGAGTTAGGGTTGATGGAATAATGAGGAGTATCGCCTCCATCTATTCTCTCTCTCATGTAACAGCAACAATACCCACCAACAATACCCATCTCGTTTCTCATGTAAATTTTCTTTATATACAAAAGTATGTTCTCACTTTTCTATCTACTCACTTTCATTCTTGCCTGTTTGTACGCAACAGCACTCCTCACCTACTTCAATGGCCACCAATGGACTATTTTTCCAATCACATTTCTCTGTCTCCCAAAAACTTCTTCAATTAATCGTCTTTCATCCAAACTGATTTTTAATATAAATTTTGAGATTTACTATTAATCTATGCATCTCTCAACTTCTTCCATCAAAACTAACTCTGGTAAGTTCAATTTTTGACCAAATTTATCACTTTCTTTCTCTTTTTCTCTCAAACTTTTCTCTTTTTATTGCTACACATTTATTTCTCTCAAACTTTTTTTTATTTTTTCTTCCGGATCTGTTAGAACTTGCGAAGTACCACCAACCAAAAAAAAAATTAAACGAGAGCTCAAAGCTCGTCAAACATTGCTTGAGCCGAGCTCGAACTAAATTTTCTAGGCTCGACTTGAGCCGAGCTTGAGCAGCCTATTACCTGACCAAGCCGAGCTCAAGCACACCATGGCTCGGCTCAGCTCATTTACAATCCTAGATAGAGGGGGAACCTCGCCATCGGCCCTTCGAGGTTTCTTTGCCCGACCACCCTTCTCCGAGTAAACATTCCTTCTTTTCGCCTGCAGTAACACCCTAAGGAAGTCACTACCTAACGAGGGAACAATAGAACGAGATGTGGCTGTCGTTCCAAGCCAATAGTGGATTTGTTCGTCTTTTGTTGAATCTTTTTCATGACTCAATAGAGAATTTGATAAGTCAATGATTTTTTTCCGTGTTTCAGAATACATCTAACCAATTTCAGAATATGGTTAACCAACATGTCGATTACATACGGAAGATGAAAACTTACATTTAGAGGACAATCAACACAAGGTTACTTTACCCACTTTTATCTAATAAATTAGCTAAACCAAGGAAAAACCCAAAAAAAAAAATCCGCGTCCAAAAAAGTACCATTATCATCCATATAACCAATACTGTAATTGTGACCGACTCGTGAGATTTGAGATCCTATTTCTCATTTTTTCCTAGATCAGATTTTATTAAGCCACCAAACAATTCAACAAACTCCAAGCACCAGGCTTGGAGGATTATAAATCAACTCATTAAAACCACCAATTATAAAATACAAATAGAAAGAACTAATTTCAAAAATCATAAGCAAGAAACAAGAGCAAGAGATCTGAACTCTCCAACTTAACGGACAGAAGAACAAACCCTGTTCAGAGAGGACTGCATCCCCAAACTATCTCGATTTTTTTTTTTTTTCGATAATTAAAACTATCTCGAATTTCCTCCTCTTATAATTCTAGAAATCCAGCAGGTATACAACGTTGGAGAAATTGTGTAAAGCAATATATCTTCACATATGTGAACAAACTGATGGTTTTAAGTTGAAGACAAAATAAAAAATATAATAAAGCCTAAAATGAAGTGAAGCACATTGGATTGATTGGAACCTACCTTATAAAACAAACAATAAAGGTGGTAGAACCTACCCTTATAAATATGTACATATCTCACTTCAATAATGAATTATATTAATATAAGAAGTGTTTAGACTTTTGGGTGAGAAATAAAAACAAGAATCAATTGATTTCAGGATACCAAATTCAATATCCAAGCATCTCTCTCTCTCTCTCTCTCTCTCTCTCTATATATATATATATATATACATACAGAGTGGGAAGTCATTAGTGTGATTACTAAGCATACAATTGTATTGATTGCTTAGTCATTTGGCATATACAAATGTGGCCTAGTGGGCACCATGATTATATAATAAAACCATAATAGATGTCACATGCTAAAAAATTATTCTCCCGGACAACAGCAAACCCAATACAAAAACCGTGATGGAAAATAATAATATATAATTGCTCATTATCCATATAATGATGAATCAAATAACTAATAGGGTAATTTGCACCCTTCCAAAGTTTGCCTTAAAGACATAGACACCACTTAAGTTAGCCATTTTTTGGACAATGACACCCCTCAAGTTTGATAAACTGAACAAAGACACCCCAAACATGATAAAAATAAATATTTACCCTTTGACAGCCTAAAATGACCAAAATAGCCTCAGCCAATATATATACCTCACATGTAAACTTCTTTTCTCTCTCTACTCACCGGTCATTACAGCAACCTCCACTACCACCCCAACTTAGGGTGAAGCCATGTTTTTTCTGTCTCCAAACCTTCTATCTACCCCCGGACCACCACTGTCTCGGATCCACGATTTAAAATCAAATGTGTTGGGTAGAACGTTTAATTTTCATGATTGTCAAAATTCATCTGATCCGATGGGGTTTTCTTCCAAGAACGAAGCTCCGACGTTTGCAGATCAGATCGTAATTGAGATTCGACTTGCCGATGAGGTTCGGTTCGGCTAAACCTAACCAAACCGAACGTTTGCAGATCAAATCAACTCCAACGGTTTGCAGATTAGATCGTCGAGATTCGGCTTGCCGGTGAGGTCCAGTTCGGCTAAACCTAGCGTGTACAGACACCTCATCATCTCACCGCCGTCGTCTCTCTGTCAAGCTTCCACACCTCCGCCAAGCTCCAACCACGAGCTATAATGCCTCCGACGAGCTGAGATCAACGATGGGTGCAATTCCTCCTGACTCACCATCGTCGCAGATGAGAGCTATAAGATGAACCTGGGTCAGCGAGACAGACTCAAGCCTCCGATTCCACTCTTGTCGATTCGCGTACAGTCTCGGATCAAAAAAACGATGGAGACGAATCAAAACATGATTTCGAGAGCACATCGAATTAGACACCGGTGACAAATCGGTGGCACAAAACGGATATGGTGCTGAAATTCTCAGCTTATCCAAAAGTTTGGGTGATTTATTAGGCAAATCGGAGTGCACCATCTTTGGTTTTCAAATCTAAATCCACCATATTGTGGGTGATAGATACAAAGGATGTATGTATGTGTAACTATTGTTGGTGTGTTTAATTTGGAAAGTGAAGATGCACAGAGATATGCATACATACACCATTGAGACGTCGTCGGTGCAGTTCATCTTCATCGTTGCCGGTGCAGTTCAAACCGACGGCGATTGCAATTGCGATCGCACAAACACGATCGAACGACCACTGGGCTAACATGATTTCAATCAACAAATCTGACTCTGATACCAAATACCAACGGCGAGGCCTTCACCTTCTTCTCTCCCCGTGACGCCAATCTCTTCTCTAGAATGGCCTCTGAGTTCTCACTTCTCGTAATGTTTAGATTTTGAGGAGTTGGGTTTATGTGTGCAAATATTTGTGGTGTGTACGTATATGCGTGCGTGTAAATGTATCTCAGAGTGATGCAAGCGACGAATGAAGAGTTTGTGGTGCTATGAGGTGGCGGCTGCGGCATTGTGAACCGAGCTATGGAATAATTGGGCAACAGAATTGTTGGGTAACCACGACACGATGGAGAGAGATAGACAAAAAAGAGTAAAGTTTTGAGTATACAAAATGTATACATGTATATTACTGAGGGCTGTTTGGTCATTTTAGGTGAGGATGAAAAAAAGGGCATATTAGACAATTCATGTCTCTAAAGGATGTGTTTGGCTCCTTATTTATAAAATGTGGTATCATTGTTCAAGTTTGCAAATTGGAGGGGTTGTTCAAACTCTCCCCAAGTTATATCTACCTGCCTTTAAGGCAAACCTGGGAGGTCAGTGCAATTTACCCTAACTAATAAGAAACTAACTAAAAGCTAAATTTTCATTAATTTTGTTTTCTTAAATTTTATATATGTTTTTAGTTAATCCATAATGTATTTTAAAAATTATATTGAATCCCATTTTTCAATAAAAAAAGAAATAATTAAAAGATCACACCGCCCGTAGCCGTAGCCGTAACCAGAACACGCTTGTTCGCCGCCGACACATGAAGTATCCGTGCTTTCCTAGGAACTGACTAACCTGAAGCCTTATTAATGGAAAGTCCAACAAGACTATGAAGCACAAGTTTAAAATTTTAAAAATAGAGCACTGTGTTAAGAAAACTATTCCTAGAAACAAAAACACATTAGCATGGGGAAAACCGTTGAACTAGTTTTGATGTCGTAATAGAGCTGGAGAATACTAGGATTGAACAAAAGTTAATAAGCTGGTGGAGACACTAACTTCTTAGATGGACAAACCAACGTCTACTAGAAAGATCAATTGTTCTAATGTGTTTTGATATAAACATCTTAAATATCTCATTGAAAAAGTAATCTTGAGAAAAAGAACTGCTTATAAATAATATCAAAAACTACTGAACCCACCCACCATATTGAGAAACAAGCCAAGTATTAAACACGCTCTAACAGGCAAATTCTACAATCAACTTCGACGAATCACAACGCAGGTGCTGCATTAAAATATCACAAGTTATTTTTGCAATTAAAGAGCTCACAATCCACAAGTATAAAAACAAGGTCTAATGTGCCATAATCAGAGGACTTGTACTCCAACCAACTAAAATTTTACCCTTGTGGCTCCCCATCTTTAGTAGCTGCAACAGAAGAAGAGCTAGAAGCCACAACTCCAGAAGAAGCAATATTCCCTGTCACGAACAAACACAATTTTTTTTTTTCAATATACAAGTATATGAGATAGATACCCATGAAAAAACAGATGGTCTCCTTATTCTGCTTAATGAACATAGTAACTCATTTTCCAAAGAAGATAAGAATACCAAAATATAACTTCATGTGAAAGGAAGACCTTGATAAAGTAATAAAAGCGTACAAATAATTTAAGATACTTGACCCTCAATAAAATAATACCCAAACGGTATTGCAATAATGAATAATAACATTAATAATAACTAGTCACTAGAAAATGAGAACAAAGCTATGCATACCTATAGAATTAGAACAGAGTAATATATCATCACATTAGGACTCACTGATGGTTTTAAAGTTGAAGACAATAAATTATTGAATAAAGCCTAAAAATGCTTAATATTTTACTGGAAAATTGAAAAATTGACTAAGTTCTATCAGAAAATTGCAAAATCCTTGCCCCCAAGTATTTTGAGGAAATTCACTGCAACCTCATATCAAGATTAACATGAATGATGCAAGTCCAAATTAAAGTCGGGTTAACCAAAAGAGGTTAATTACATGGTAAAGTTATAAAATATTTGTGCAATGAATACATTTAAAAAATATATATATATATATATATATATATATATATTAAAGCCACACAATGATTCAAAATTAAAGGCTTTTCAGAAGCCACCTAGAATTGAACATCTAGGAGGACAATGATGGCTCTTAAGATTAATTCACTGGAAATAACAAGAAAGGATGAAAAACTTCTAACAAATGTAGTTTTATAAAACCATTACTCTTCTCAATTCCAAACATAGCTACAAGGAAGACACGTCCACCACATAATCTGCATTATTGTACATTTTACACATATCATCCTATAAACTTGAGTAGTTCAACGAATAATCCAACTCAATGGTTGCAGAAAAGGAGCCTACATAAAGCAGGATCAACTAAATAACAGCTCCCCCCATCAAATAAACTAGATGACCTTCCAACGTCCATTTTGTATACAACTCGATAAATAATGTCATAAAAACAAAAGTTCAAGAGACATTAAACGACGAATCTCACAATACCTGCCCATCTAAATTTAATGTTTTTATCAACTTAAGAGACCTGAACATGGAAGAGGTTAATGGGAAAAACACGATATCTCAAATTGAATTCTCAAAAATAAAATAGAATTCAAAAATCAATTAACAATATTCATGACGGCAGTAACACAATGTTAGATATCTTGGAAAAAATAGTTCCACAAAAATCTATATATAAAACAAGATAAAGAAAACTTTGCCAGTGTTAAATAAATAAGTGATACATACTTTGATAGTTGCGGGGCATACGCGAATCCAATTTCTACATCAAAATAATAAATAAAAAAATTATTGAAATTATATATATATATATATATATATATATATATATATATTGAAATATATTGAAATTCTAAACAAACAGGAGCTTAAAAAAATTGTAAAAAAAAGTGTAAAAAAACTTTATATAAAATTTGGGTGTTGAACGATGCAAAACAAGAAACAAGTTAGACATAGAACAGAAATACTACACTATGAATAGTATTCCTTGTACAGAAAGTTTAATGGCTGATACAAATATATATAAATTGTGTGTGTGGGCAAATGAACATGGTGTTTATACCTCATCCTCCGGCCGGAAATACGGAGTTGCACCAGACTCAACAACGATTTCCATGCCCTTACGCTTTATCGTGATCTCAGCTAAACAATTTGGATTTGTGCAATCATGGAGGATCTTGGTCCAAGTTAAACCTAAAGTATGATTCCGTTTCTGTGCCTGTTATATCCAAAACCAAATTAATTAATTATTTTACATATAGAGAGAGAGGGGGGGACGATAATAAAATGATCTAATGAATCTTGTCTATAACGAACGTACTAAGATTGAATCATCTAGTATGAAGGAAATCATAGACCATTTGGGCATGCGGTTGCCACAAGAGTCGCACATGAGACTCATCCAAAGTTTGCCGGACCTTAGGTGCTGATTGGGAGCAAGCCTTCCCCTAGGTCGATGGGGAGGAACTCGGCGTCGCGGTCCGAGGTTCGCATCGGAAGCGGAGTCTGCCATTAGATTCTCCCCTTAGGAGGCTTCGTATTTATTCCTTTCTCCATCAAAACCCTAATCTATATATAGATATCTATATACCGTAATCCCTAATATTTACCTTGGTCGGTGGATGTAATGTATAGAATTCTCTCCCAGAGGCTTATTGCGTACAAAAAGCCCAAAGTAGTTAGCCCACTGCTTACTTCAAAAACAAACAGGCCCAATGGGAAAATAAAGAGCATTATAGCCCAAAACAACCCAACAACAGTTGTGTATGATCAAATGCATTAACGTAGCAATCCGGTGCTCATGGAGGATGATTCCAACAATGCTATGCATAGCTAACTTCTGAGGACGAATCACAGACTCAAGCAGCTCCCATTCATGTCTGTAGTTTGTTTTGTGATAGTCCTATAAAAATGGTTTCTCATAAATACTCCATCTCATTTTAAATAATTTCCCGATATTGTCTTACTAAAATATAAATATCTTAGTATAGGAACATAAAAATAGCATTGAGATCATTGGAAAGCTGACGAAAAATTCTTAAATTTGAGCTCAAGAATTACTCAATTTAAATTTAAAATGACTGAGTTATGGCAATTCCAATTTCGTGTCACAAAACAGGCAAAACAATAAGCTGAGCTGCAAACCGGATTAGAAGACTAAGTGTCAGACACGTGGCATACTCTCATTGGAAGAGGTGGCGCAATACCATTAAGACACGTGGCGCGTTTCTGTTGGCCAGAGCTCACATGTCCGCGTCACATTGGATCATTATTAACTTCATCATTCGCATCAGTAGTTCTTATTCTGCACGCACCGTAACGAACTATACCGCACCGCACCACACCAGATTCTATAGCCCACCTTCTCCTGAATGGCGCAGAAATTCTAAAAAAAAAATTCTAAAAATTTCGGAAATCTTAAATAACATTCCTAGACCATAAATGAAGCATATAATTCACTAACAACATATACTACACATTTAAAATTAAAAATCCAAATTTACTTCATAATTTTTTAATTTTTTATAAAAAGTACACAATAATAGCATGGTTTGGATAGCACAATAATATATGCAAAGAGAAGTGAATAATTTATGAATTCAAAAACGGAAGAGAAGAGCAATGACTTGTCTTAAGAATTTGTAATAAACCCAAAATAAAACCTCGCCGGAAAATGCTTCCGACTCGGCCAACTTCCTTCTCTAACCCTCTGCTATCGGTTCCCTCTGTTGTCCTCTTCCTCTGTCTCTCTGGTCTCCCGTTCTTCAATCTACAGACCAACGTAAACATATAAATAAATGTATATATATATAAACCAACTCTCTCTCTCCCTCTCTTCATAAATACTCTTTCTCCGTCTAATAAATACTGTGTCTCTTTCCCTTAAGTACTCTTTATTTCCTTACTGCATTCCTTCTTTCTCACGCAAGACTTGTAAAAGGGCTACATAAAGTTGCAATTTGGGGGAAAAAAATAAACAAACTCACAGGAGACTCACCCAGCCTCATTCATATCATGCACTTAGATGTCATTCGTAACATGCAATAAAATTTTATTATTTTTTAAAGAATGATTTGTGAACTGAATTTGATACCTGATAGATCGATTTCGACTCATACGAGAGAGTCCCAGAGTGCCACTCCTGATTACATTATTGTGGAATTCAACTAAAAAATCACACTTTTTGCACAATACTATATGTAAAATTTATTTAAGAAATTGATGACATTATTGGGTTGGGTTGGGTTGTTGCCGCAAAAAGCAAGCCCAACAATATTAAAACTCGAAAATTAAAAAACAGCTAGCCGTTACAATTAGAACCAGAGAGCAAATTAAAAACTAGCTAACAACACAACTAAGCAAGAGAGAGGAGGAACCCAGCTCTGAAGCAGGAGAGGAGACCCAATCACGAACGAACCCGCGAGGGAGGACGAGCAAATTAAGCTCACAGGTGTTGCAGTTGGGAGCACCTTGGATTTGAAATTTTGAAATCGGAGGAAATTAATTAGTTCAAAAAATTAACTAATTTTCTTACAATTTCAAATTCAATGGACAAATTCGGTGCTCCCAACATGGGCAAATTAGATTTTGCATGCATTTGACTTTCATAGTTTTCTATCAGCTGCTGATTATTGATTGCTGAAGCCAACATTTTCTATGAATTCTAAAATTTCTCATTCGAGGAATTAACGTCATTTTTATATGGCACAACCTGGGAGAACGTACACAAACTAAGCTTTGTGTATGGAAGCATGAACAAATAAGTAGACTAACTACCATGGTGGAATTAAGAAGGAAGTACAAGGTTGGACTCAGCATTCAATTAATTAATGGTGGATTCAGGATCTACAAGCCCCAAACATGGTCCAAAACATACAAAAATAACAGTACCACCATTTTGTACCCCTCGCCCTCAGGTCCATATATATATATAATATGATGTAAAGTTTATAAGGTTAAAAAGGTGGTTTTCAGGTGGCTTCTATGTTGGTGCCTCTTGTGAAAGAATGTAGAAAGTTTTCAAGGTATTTCTGTATCTTTTACACGGCACTTCACTTTTTCCATTAAGTCTACAAGAAGACCTAGCCTCATGAAATTTTAGGAAGCTTATAATGTGGTATTTATAATGGATGGAGAGGGATGCATGTATGCTTTGATGAAACAAGTGTTATTTTGTGGTGGTTGGAGTCTTTTATGCATGGGAACGAGCCACCGGTCTGATCAGGTAACAAAGCCTCTCAAACCCCATGCTACTTCACTACAGACACACACACACATCAAGAGGCTAGGACTCCACCAATTAATGTGTCCAATACTTGAGTAGACCTTTTTTGGCAGTACTTAGAATCAAATTCAATTGTAGTACTTTTCCGAATATATACTACAAGGCAAAGAAGTCATGAGAACAAGGCGAAGAAGATCCATCATGTTCAAACTAAAATTTTGTTTAGGATTCAGTTTCTTTCTTAATTAATTCTTTTTTTAAGTGATCATAGTTACTTTTTCACTACAAGTGTAACAACCGTGATTTATCACTCCTATTAGTTTACTTGTGTTATATATATATAAAGGAGATAAAACTGCGATAATGAATGCTTAGGTTATTTGAGTAGTTTATCTGACGTAGGTTATTTCACGGAGATAACGCTATCATTTAGTTCAGTTTGGGTTTTAAAGAATTTTTATTGAACTCAACCACTAGTTGTATAACTGGACTTAGTGTATCGGCATTGCATTACCTACGTTAACATACCTACGATACTATTCTGGAAATTCGACATGGTCATTCAAAAAAGCGAAGAAGCTTTAGCAGACTTTATTTTTAGGCAAGTTAATTCTTGCTTTAAATTCTGTGTATATTTGTGTTTTGGATTTTAGATGATTATTCATGATTTATTAAGTTTGATGATAATTTATTTTAATTAGTGGGTTGGAGATTACGTACAGACTTATGAGGTAAGCTAGGCACATGTGATTATAGTTGATTTTGGAGGAAGTATTTAGTTGAATGAATTATGGATTCTAAATGATATTTTACATAATTCGCATGTTAAGATAGATACATAAATGATGGATATATATATATATATATATATATATATATATATATATAGCAGGTATCTATTTACATAAGTAGAGGTGGGTGTTCAATTATCATACCACTGGTTGTTGATTTTCGTACTTATATGGTATTTGGTTTTAATCAACATATTTGTTGGATATCAATAGCGTGACTACATTGATATATTTATGGCCTATGCAAATGGGTGTTGACTTTTAAGATTGGTTTGTTCAGTACTTGTGTGGCAATGAAATCCTAAGTATAGATGTGATGACCCTGTGGGCGGATGTGCCGTGGGTGGATGCGAGAGACACTGACAAGCTACCACACTGACGAGCTATGAGTACACAGTCCCACATCGCCTGGGAGAGAAAAGGTGAAATGCTTATATGTATAAGTGTGTCATCTCCAATTGGTATGAGGCCTTTTAGGGTGAAACTCAAGAGCAAAACCATGCGAGCTCAGGCCCAAAGCGGACAATATCATACCATGTAATGGAGTGGGTCGTTACAAGTAGTATCAGAGCTTAACCCAGCCGGAAGTGTGCCGACAGGGACGTCAGGCCTCCAAGGGGGTGGATTATGATGACCCTGTGGGCGGGTGCGAGAGATACTGATAGGCTACTACACTGGTGAGCTACGAGTATACAGTCCCACATAACCTGGGAGAGGAAAGGTGAAATGTTTATATGTAAGTGTGTTATCTCCAATTGGTATGAGGCCTTTTGGGGTGAAGCCCAAGAGCAAAACCGTGGCGGCTCAGGCCCAAAGCGGACAATATCAGACCATGTGGTGGAGTGGGTTGCTACAATAGACATGCAAATTGATTGGATAAAAATAAGGAGGAATAAGTCTTGGTGCAAGGCAATGGTTTATTTTGATTAAATGAATGGAAATTTTACCACCATAGAATGGGCTTACGGAATGGAGGAGAATAAGTTTTGGCAGAATAAGTTGAAATTTAGAATACAAGTTTGCAACTTATTGTAATTAGGACTATGAGTTAATACTGGTATGTTGGTATTAATTAAGGTATTTGATTAACTTATGATATTATGAGCAGGAGTTATTTAAATATATTTAGTGTTTAATTGAAGTGATTAAATAAGTTGGAACAGTAGTCTGGGACTTACCCAATGATGAGTTTGTTGTGCGCAGTCAAGGACTGTCTACGAGAGTGAATTACTCTTTTGTTATGGCCATAGGCTAAAGGTGCCCTTAGTATGTGAACGTGGTCAGGGGCCACCTGGGTTAGTAGACGTACAACCCAGCCACATGTGTGTATTTGGTAGTCAGGGACTGCAATTCACACCATGTGACGGCCCAAGTTTTTCAACCCGTTGCGTCAATGATGAACCGAAAGATGGGCCGATAACGGATCCGAAGTGCGGAAGCAAAAGACAAAACAACAGTCTCTAGAGATACAACATGGCTCTAAGACACCATTATGACCCTCAATGAGGTCACGGAACCGGAAGGAATCAAATGGGGAAGCAACGTTTCAAAAACAAACAAGATTG